ATTTGTAAAATTTGTGTTTTCTCGTTTTCATTATTATTAATATTATTATTAGTAGTAGTCGAGACTGTCAACTAACTCCAAAGTGAGAATCTCCAATACGAACGTCAAGGCAGTCTTACTCTACGGAGCTGAAACGTGAAGAACTACTACATCCATCAACGGGAAGGTACAAGTGTTTATAAACAATTGTCTACGCAAAATATTCAACATTCACTGACCGGATACTATCAGCAACAATGTTTTATGGGAGAGGACAAACCAGCTTCCAGCTGAAGAGGAAATTAGGAAAAGTCGTTGGAAGTGGATAGGACATACATTAAGGAAATCACCAATGTGCATCACGACTCAATCCCTAACTTGGAATCCGGAAGGGAAGTGGAAAACAGAAAGACCGAAGAACACATTACTTTGGGAAATAGAAGCAGGACGAATGTTAACTAGAAAGAACTGGAAGGGATTGCCTAGGACAGGGTTGGATGGAGAATGCTTGTGAGCAGCCTATGCTCCTCCACTAGGGGTAACAGGCGTAAGTAAAGTAGTCAAGACTGCATTTGATCGTTTCCCTACGTTATTTAGCTTTTTGAGCTCATTTCAGGATACTATTTGTAGTTACAAGTTGGGACAAGACATATAAACCAAACAATATTGTTTTCAATATATGGGGTTGTGGGTTTTCCTAATCAAACTAATCAATTTTTTGCATTCAAATAATGATGTATCTCATCACTTGACAATGTTAAGAAATCTAATGTTTATCCTTGGAAATGCTAAGAGATCTAGAAAAATATCCAAAATATACTTATTTAATAGACGCCTTTAATGAATTCTAGTAAACTTTAGAAGTAATTAAGTTCTCTCTTACTGTCTAAAAACACAAATCATTGTTGACCAATGTATCTTTTCTAGAAAGTGCTAGAAATCAAAAACCATTTGTAACTGCACTAATTAACTTTAGTTTCTTTATTTAATCTAATTTTTAAGTAAAGCTTCACACGTATTATCACCTTAACTTTTTACAGATTTATAATTATCACATTTCAAATGTTTGATACATATATCAGTATCAGAATCATCAAGTGATCAAACAAAGAATATAAGGGAGTTAGAATCTGTTTAGTTAACATCGTAAAAACTAATTCAATAGGAATATTATGGAAAAGATTGAAAAACAAATCACTTACAATCAGTGACATGTTTGTCCATTCTTTTTTCATTGATTGAATCCTATTGATCAAGTTACAATATGGCCACAAGTCTAAGTGACTCGACATCGTGTGTACTATGTTCAGACTTTAGTTGATTGGAGGTAGATGCAGTATACCGTGGATATACCTACAGTCTTAAAGAACTACAAGTACGCGTTGGTGAGATGTAAACGAAACTTAGGTCCAAGGTTTCTCTGTAGACTACCTTCAGTCAACTAATAATATTAAATCATGTTATTTTGAGTGAATCTTAAACTCTCGACTTCTTCTGTTAGGTTTTGCATTTTTGCATGAATATACATCCTTTTTTAGTGAGCTTCAGACTAGTAATAACGTTGATGATCTTAGACTGATATGAAATATACGATTTTCAGTCACCTATATCTTTTGTAATGATCCACTACTATGAAACATTATTAAAGGGCACTTGATAGGACTGTATGCTTTGTATGAATCGTTATATAAACTTTCTTTGACAAACTTGCAAAATCCTGTTAAATAGACACGACAGTATATAACATAGTTGAAAGACACTGTTTTTCCAAAGTAAGCAATGAAAAAGCTGACTAGCGCAATACATAAAACAATCCAATACATAGTTCTAGCCTTAGTTCAGATAAGGAAGAATCTTGAGTATGTGGTTATTGGAAAAACCTGGATTTATGACCATAGTAACAGCCAGTAAAAAAAATACTTTCACTTAAAATATTTCTATCACACTGAAATGTATTACGTAAAATGCTTTTTGTGTTATCCTGATTTGTGATTGGATAAAGCTTTATATTGGGCCGTCTGAAGAAAAATTCTCTGCCTCTTTCTTTCTCTCTTTGTCTTGGATTCTCTCTCTCACACTGAGTATTTCTATCCATCACTGCCATATATATATATATATATATATATATATATATATATATCGGTTGTTTTCTTGTAATTGGGTTATGTATATATGTTTTTATCAAGTAGGCAATAAGACTCGAAGTACTTTGTACATTATGTATACTTACGGAAAAAAATATGACGTGTCTGTCTATTTAACTTCGAAAGTCCAATATCTGTGTTTATTTTGACTGACCTTCTAGATAGACACTAAACAAAAAATGTAGCACAGTATTACAAAAGGACATACATTTCATTGTTAGGTTTTCAAAAAATCTAGTACATTCAGATGTCGAATTCCAAACGGAAAACATTTATTTATTTATTTAAAAACATAAACATTGGTACAAGGAGGCACCAAATAGATTTGCGCCACATGAATCATTCAATTTGTGTGAGGGCTGGAATACTACTCGGGTGCCCAAACAGAAGCAGGTGGTACCCTAGGGGTGCCCCACACCATTGGTTTTGAATGAGGCTATTCCAATTCACCTAGTTGGATCTTCTGTATCCACCAACCCGAATATAGTGTCGGATATTCTCTTTTCGTCTTCTCGATTTCGTAAACAACACTTCGTCCATGAGAAGACAGTGAGTATGACTTTTCTGACAGTGATTGTATACGCGTGGCCATGTGAGAGGATTTCTAGGGAGAGGGAGAGCTGACTGTCCCCACCCTCGATCGTACCAGGGTATTTGGAGGCAACCGTAAAACAGCGATTTTGAAAATGATAACAGCTGAGAGAATTAAAAGTAGTTAATGACCACAGTGTAAAAAAGTCTCTCAGTAAATAATCAAGAAAAATCGAAAGAAGTTTTCATTAGAGTCCTTACATCTTTTGATGGTTACCCATAAATCTACAGGCTAAAGGACATAAATTCCATGCGTATTAGTTTTATCTTCTTTCTTTTATCCACCATTAATCTCTTTAAGTAACAAACATTTTAGTTACTATGTACCAGAATAAACTCAATAACTTCGTTCAGTTTGGTTATTTATAATTGAAAGTGATATGAACATCTTTAAGTCAAGTGTTTATCGAAAACAATAAATATGATCAAAATAAATGAAATTCAATGGATTAATATATTAATGGACAGTCAGATCATGGCTTATGGATGTTCCACATCAATAACGGCGTCATAAACTGTAAATCTCCTTGGCATTCTGAAAATTATATGAGGGTAGTACGCTTCTTATTGTTAGAAAATTGGAGAATTTCACCAAAAGGCAAGCTTCCACTCTAGAACAACTTTATTTATTTCAGACACACTTAGTTTATATACAAGCAAATCAGACCATAAATACCATAAAATAAAAAATAATAATAATACAGGATCAATCCAAAAAGTGGCTGTTAATGTGAAAGACTTTAACTAATAAATTGGGAATAATTTAAGAACAGTAAATCGTATGATAGTAGCCAATAGGTCAAATAATATATATATATATATATACATGAAAATTCTCGAAAAAATTCATTAATATTGAAATATCCACTTGGTGTTGTATACTTGTATCTTCCCAGGAAATTGTCAGATCAGTTAAATTAACACTTTCAACATTTATTACTCAGAATAGATGTGTTGTGACCAGCAGTTGAGTCTAAGGCGCGCCTTACATCTTATTCACGACAAATCAGCTGGATTTACCAGTATTTGTGTTGATGTACACACCGGAATACGAATCCAGTGCTTTTCACTTCAAACTCCACAATCTATTCTATTCTGAATAACGTATAGCATGATGGTTATTATCACATTAATACGCACAGGATGCACATATTCCGATAAAGATTGACCGAAATTCAGTCCTTAATATTAACAACCAGGTAATTTAATTTTTCACTAATAATGATGTGAAAATCTATTACTGTTCGATGTACAATTTAGATACAATTTTATGATACTTTAGTATAGCTATGGTTTTTGTATTTACTTATATTGACTTTTTTACACCTAGAAATGTTACACCTTCATTTTGTTTACGTAATTTTCTTCGTCTATTTTTTAAGTTATTATTAGTAAACTTGTTATCCTATTATTATCATTATCAAATCGAAGTTGTGGTTTGTATGAGTTTCATCTTGTAAATTTGTTTGAAAATTATTGTGTAATATTTCGAAATTCTTCATGAAATCGATACACATGAAATCTGGAGATAGTTTCCATCGGCAAATGGGATCGATTGGATAACAATTAGAAATCAGAGAATGGGTGAATAGTTATCTCACCTTAGTTTAAATGTTCATACCGAAATCAAAACAGATTCACAGCATTTCTGTATCATATTAGTAGGTATCGGAATAATATTATGTCACTACACGAAACTGGTAATGTAATTTTACATTTATTTAGAACAATTATTTTGTGAAGTAAATATTACAATCAATATAATTTACCCATTATTCATCAGTCAGTGGTTTTGAGTACTGTTAGAGATATGAGGGTGGTTATTACTCCAGATTTCCCACACCGTGGAAGGGTTCTTCTAGAGGTACTTGAAAAGGAAACTAGGTTAGAGTTGGTCTTAGTGACCTGAGAGCGTGACCGTAATGCCCAAGGGACAACTGCTTGTGGCTGGTCACTCATGGCCTTTATGTGAGTAATTTCCTTGCTAGCTCTCTACTTGTTGGGACCTTACCATCGAAGATGGAAATCTGTGGGATAAGGCGAGGTGTGCATTTTTAAGGTTGACCTTTTCTAACCCCATCCCTTTTTGTGGGAAGACAGCATTGCTGTTATCCTGGTTGTTTGAGGGAAACACTTCACTGCCATCACACTTCTGTACAATCAGCAGAACGACTTAGCCCTCGGACCTTGGATTTGTTACTTCTAGTCTTACCGCTCTTCAACTGACCTGTCTGGCATGGTAGGACCTTGAGGAACAATTTTTCTAGCCAGTATAGCCTGACTGATTCATCACGATAGGCAAGCCCGGCCACCACGTCAAGGCAGCACCAACAGTCATCTTGAATAACGAGTTCTTCTGACCACTGAAAACTCGTAGTACTGATTCTTCAACTCATAATGCTTTACAGCCGGTTCGTAATACGACTGAAGTGTAACACAAGGTTTAAACTAAATACAGAAATGAAACTTTTGTTATATTGGGAAGTTCTAAAATAGATATAGTAATTATTTATGAATTGTGACTTTATCAAATCAGAATAAAAAAGGATAGAGTTACATCAATTTTGAAATTTATTAGGATTCATTAAATGCATATTAAACGATATTTTTCTCATTGTAATGATTCTTTCAAACAATCATAGATATCCCCCAACAATTATTATTCATTGTAGTCATTGTAAGTGGTGAAAAAGAAAGATAAAATATATTTCGCTCCATGAAGTTCACTTTATATTCAATGTCATCGGCAGATCGTAGTCAAACAAACATGAAAAACCTGAAACCACTGAACAGCTGCTTCGTAATCGTATGGAACTTTCTAGAAATACACACCTGCAATTCCATTGGAGGTCGAACACAGGATATTGGGGTCTTGAAACGAGCAGTTAACGCTTCAATCATTGAATCGTATCCGATAGTTTACATTTCCAGCTGTATTTATTTAGTGATATCGCTTAACCGCCTTCCGACATCATTGGTGGGTAACTGCTTTACACTCAATATGGCTGAACTCCACTATCATCCCATTGGTCTAATGGTTAGGCTACGCTTACCCTCCGGTTGGATAGTGGTTGCTCACTACTAAAGAAACCTTTGCTAGTATGAAACAGTTGTTCATTGCTTCATGATCTTCAACAATTATTAAACTAAGAATAGTCCATGATGTTAACCATAAAATTAAGAAATCTGAACAAATTCTCCTATATAATAATAAATCTAATTTTCCTGACCTTGTTCACAAAATTTTAGTACAATATAATGTTTTTTTAAGAGGTAAAGGTGATTTGAGTTAGATATGTTAACATTTTGGATAAACTAAATAATGATCTATTTAAAAAAAATATTTCAAAAAGTATTTCCATTCCTTCAAACCAAATAATGGCAACTTCTTAATGTTTATTCCCCGTTTTTGTTATGTTCTTACAGGAAATGTTTCGATCATCATCATCATCATCATCATCATCATCATCATCATCATCATCATCATCATCATCATCATCATCATCATCATCATCATCATCATCATCATCATCATCATCATCATCATCATCATCATCATCATCATCATCATCATCATCATCATCATCATCATCATCATCATCATCATCATCATCATCATCATCATCATCATCATCATCATCATCATCATCATCATCATCATCATCATCATCATCATCATCATCATCATCATCATCATCATCATCATCATCATCATCATCATCATCATCATCATCATCATCATCATCATCATCATCATCATCATCATCATCATCATCATCATCATCATCATCATCATCATCATCATCATCATCATCATCATCATCATCATCATCATCATCATCATCATCATCATCATCATCTTCATCATCAATGTCAATAACCATCAACCTGTATAATAACTTTCTTGATGTTGTAACCCAAAACGGAATTGAATTGTGGAAAAAAGGACGACCAAGATATTCATTAAAAAAGAAAATGATTGAAAGTAGTCGTAACCTCTATCCCGCACTGTAAATAACTGTTCAATCAAATTCACTAATTATTTATCTATAGGTTGATTAGTAACAGTGTAGATTAGTTCTATTGAAAAGGGTTCGAACCAGTCTTCTTGACAGATTGATGAATATTATAAGAATACTAGAGAGAATAACTCTATTCTTTATATGCTTAATATTATATAAATCCATTGTTTATTCCATGTGAACTAGTGGAATTTTTAATTGTTTTAGCCAAACAATTTTTGATAATGACGTCAGAATAATAATAATTGGAAACTAACAATAACAACAAAAAACTCTCTTATATATAGTACTTTCAGTCAAATGAAATTAATTTACATTAAACCAAATACTAATGCAATAGTTTATGCCTGTTGTCAATAATATACAACCATTTATATTTATGTATAAACAATCATTCAATGTTAACGGACTAATCATTTATTCTGATTTTCTTTAAATCAACCAAATGGAGGAGAATAGTAGTTGATACATTTAGAATGGCATACACGTAATAGCACACACACACATACACGCTAAATAAAAACATTAAGAAATATATTGACATTGTTTATTAATTAATCGGTTGATTGAGAAAGCATATGAACATTATTGAATCAGTCAATCAGTTACAACGTAGAACTTCGTACGTACGTACATCAGTTCGAGTTGCCATACCACATTAGCACAGAGATGAAGTTGTCGATTCAAATCCCATAATGGTAGAAGTAGTAAGAGTATAAGTATTATGTGGAAGATAAGGGTTTGAAGATGTTATTGAAGGAGCATAATACGGTGAAATAAATTTGAAAAGAGAAAAAGGATACGGACATGAAGAATTCAGAAGATTAGAATTTGATAGAACACAAAGAATGTATGCACCTTCGCCATTGCAAACGATTTTGAGCCATGTCATTCAAGGTCTCTAACTATCGGTTGCTATCATCTCGCGAATCCCAACCAGGTAGTCTACACCTACCAACATGGCCCAGTCCACTTGTCAGCGACTTCATGGATTTATGCCATGTTTTGGTTTGGCCACCCCTAGCTTTCTTCCAACCTACTCCTACACCATAAAGTATTGCACGTCAGGGCAGTCGGTGATTGGGCATACGTAACACATGTCCCAGCCATCTCAACTGATAAGGTTTCACTACTTCATCAATCGATTTGCCATCCTTACCTAGTACCCGTTTCCTAACAACTGTATTACTTACCCGATGGTCCCCGGATACACGAGCAACGCGTCGGAGACACCTATGATCGAACACTAGTAACCTACTAATATCCTCTACTCTTATCGGCCATGTTTCACTGCCTTAATGTAGGACGGAACGAACTGCTGCACAGTAAACCCGTCCTTTGGTTGCTAGACGGATATCTCGCCTACGCCATAAATGGCGCAAGTTGGCGAAAGCTAGACAAGCCTTCTGAACATTATTGAATACAATAATAACAATAATGACACTATAACTATGGGTATAATTTTGCCACACACATATACACTCACTCATTCACTGACTGATATATAAATATAGACGAAGAGAAAAACGGAGAAAGTACTGCATCCAACTGTGCATACGCAGTACATCGACACATAAACTTACTGATACACATTGTTATTTTTATTGCCGTGATCAACATCATGAGAATCAACATCGTAGTAATTTGAGTAGGATTCCGTTATTCATCATTTGAGAAGATCACTATTGCTGGTTGACGATATTGATGATGCTGATGGTGAATGTATTAGTGATGTAAGGAATGTAATAATAATAATATTATTATTATTACTGTCATTGATTATTTGTAGAAAAAGTTGTTTTGTTGTTATTATAGACATTATATATTCACTGTTTGAAGAAGAACAGATCACAGAGATTTTCCACCACACTACTGTATAAGCATAAATATGGAAGATGAATACATTGTGATTTTGTTCTACAGTTCATACATATCACTATTTAACTTAATTGATAAATTTACACTATTGATGAAAATTTAAGTTTTCTATGTCATTGAACGAAGTGTCATTTAATAAACAAACGTATTAAATTATAATAAGGGGTTTTGTGGAGATTTAGTATTTTTTCATAGTTGAAAGCGTTAGTCAATTAAAGCTAGACCATCATGGAAAACCTGGAAACACTGGACGGCCGTTTCGTCCTATTATAGGACTCCTCAGCAGTGCGCATCCACGAAACCGCTTTCGCGAGATTCGAACCCAGGATCTACCAGTCTCGAGCCGAAGCCCTTAACGAAACGGCCGTTCAGTGTTTCCAGGTTTTCCATCGTGGTCTAGCTTCAATTGACTCACGCTTTCAACTATGAAAAAAGACGTATTAAAGGCAAATATAATCAATATAATTGATTTATACAAGAAATATTTTATGAACCTTTATGTTTACTCCTCTATATCCATAAGTTATGTCAGAATATTGTCTATATGAATATAGTTGTTTTCGTGAAGATACCCATAAGGCTTTTATAAGTTTTTTTTACTGAATAACATCGTCCGTACAGAACTTAAAAAGAAATGACTATAGATTGTTCTCTTTTCAATAGAATTTACTGTCAACTGTATACCGAAAAGAATTTATAAAAACTCATCTCTTTTTGTTATGTCCTAATGAAGACGTGAGTACGGTTAACTTCCGGTATCTATTAATGGATTATTATTTTTTATATATCCTTATTGTTTACCTATTGATTAATTAGATTTCGTATATCTATATTCATCTTATTATAAGCTTCATTTTGACCTATAAATTATTATTAAACGATTTACTGTCCCTAAATTATATTTAGTTTAGTGATCATTGTCTCTCACGTTCACAGCCAAATTTGGCTTGATCCTGTACAAATATTATTTTCTATTTTATGGTGTGATACCGTCTGTCTGTCTAGTATATAAACCGAATATGCTTGAAATAAATGATTCGCATAGCAGAAGCTGTAAATGGTGTTCTGGAATAACTTGGAAGAGCTAGGCGGAAAAGGGACCAATAAGGACGCTAGACTGCTCATACCAGTTGAACGTCATTGTTTTGACACAGTGCTAAGATTGGAAAAGTCGTATATCGATTGGTGTATAAACCACGTGATAAAAAGCCGGGCATAAGATCACAACAAATTGGAGACGGCCTATTTCTTTAAATTAATAACACTTCATAGTGTTCGTTGACATTGTTATCTAAAAACACAATAGAAGCTTGACGCTTAAATTATTCAATCTAGAGAATGCAGCTTCACAAAAAACACCTTTATAAGATAAAAATTTCTCCCACCAATATTGAATATGGAGGTGATTATATTTCGGTCAGTGCCCGATTGATGATTATTCGTGACGATTAATTAGATGATGTAAGCTCCTTGCAAAAGTGATCGATAGATCGCAGTGATAAATCCGGCTGAACACTTGAATCGGTTTTCTAAGTCCTTGTAGTAAGATCCAGGCTAAATCTACTCGGCAACTTGAACACGAGTAAAAAGGCTCGAAATATGAAAAGAAGGCTTTACTCCAAGGTTAGTTTATAGCATTTCAGATGACCTTGGGCTTCTGGAAAGTTTTGGAACCATTCCAAATCATAGCAGCAGGATAGATAACCATCCATTCAGAAATGTGACACGTGATGTTTAACTTTCCAGATGTTTCTGATAAACCTCTATTGAATGGTAATTAGATAAGATGTTACCCTGTGTTTTCAGGACTCCTTTGGGTTTTTTTCGAGGAATTTTCTGGGTCTCCCTAACATGCAGTCGTTAATATTAAAGTAAACTAGATTCAAACCTTTACAAAAAAAATTCACGCCTGAAGCATAAACCGTTGTCTGCCTGGACTCAGTAGTTCACTAGGTAACGCGTTGATGTTTGATTTAATAGGTATTGTACTGGGTTTGGTCTCAGTATTAATATCAACAAAGGAATGTAGGAACATCCAGATAACTAGTACTAAATAGGAAGAAACGTATATCTTTTATTCCACTTTTAGTGAATATAATCCAAGTTTTCTTACATGATATATCATTCAATTAAATAAGATTCCGGCCACCATTCCTTGTTTTTCAATAGTATAAATAGATAAGTAATACTTTACTTACTTATTTTTTCATAAACATTCTGACAAATTCACTTGTTATTGTTTGTTTGAATCATTCCATTGAAGTTTAGGACTGCAATTGATCAGTCGGCATATTTGCATGATGTGAGGAATGCCTCGATATTGCCTTATTTCACAAGCATTATAAGCAAAGATGGATAGTGGCTAGCAGTGGAATCCAGGACACGCGTTTCATCCTATTTGGGACTCGTCGGCTGGGTGTACCTGCATCTCAGAATTGATGTTCACTCTGGGACTCGAACCTAGTACCATTCGCTTCAAACGCCATCGCTTTATCCACTCACCTACTGAGTTTTGATGGCCACTTGCTAGCCACTATCCATCTTTTCTCATAATGCTTGTGAATCAAAGCCATATCGGGGCAATACGCACAGTATGCACAAATGACAATAAGAGACTGATCAATTGCAGTCCTAAACATCAATGGGAAGATCCAAACAAACAATACTAAGTGAATTCGAACTTCACACCATTGCACAAGCAAGTGGCTATCAGGACTCAGTAGCCTAGTGGATAACACGATGGCGTTTGAAGCGAAAGGTACTTGGTTCGAGTCCCAAAGTGAATATCAATTCTGAGATGCAGGTACATCTAGCCCGTGAGTCCCAAATAGGATGAAACGCGCGTCCTGGATTCCACTGCTAGCCATTATTCATTTTTGCTAACCATTCTGACAAATTGTTTTATTACTCCTTAAGTTTATAAATGAATTTTATGAAACATTTTTATTGAGAGAATGTGTAGTTTTAATATAAAATAAAGATACAATGTAAATTAAAAGATGATTTCACAAATCAACATTGAAAGTTCTTCACATTCAATGCTTATATAAGATTGTGTATATAAGTGAGCTAAAGAGGATTCTTAACCTAGAACAAAATATTTTTCTAGTGTTTTTGGATTACAATAATAACCCAGTTGTCATTAGTCCACATGTAAGTTTAAATTATGATATAAGTAATTGTCAATAAAATCATCTGATTTAAATTTGTAAAGGTTTATACAAACAAACTCAACTAACCAAATACATATTTATGAAGTAGCTTTTAAGTTATTATAATTACTGTGTAAGGGGGTTGTTATTTTATTTTGTTTCCCTTTACACTAAAATAAATGAAATGGCATTCTAGACTGTAATATATATTTTTGGAAAGTTGAATGCTGTAGAAGCCTTGTCCAAAAAGAATAAGTTATTTGTATTTGATCCATCTCTCATT